AAAGAAAGAAAGAAAGAAAGAAAATAAATAAATAAGTAAACTTTTTAAAATGTGCTTTTAGATAAAAATTGTGCCTTTTAGTTAGTCACGTGTTATGTTTTCTTCAAACTAACAATGTGGAGTAAAGTTTTCCAGGTTTGTCAGGGAGACCAAACACAGAAGACCCCTTTGGACAACGCACCAGCAGAAGACACAACCACATTGAAAAACATGATTTTCACAAAGAAAGGTATGTAGGTATTGATTCAAGACTGAAACTAAGTCTCTTCTGTTGTTTCCCTCAGCTTCCAAATAATTTCCTCACATCAAAATGCCTTACAGATTAAACTAATTATATAATCTATTCTCATTATTAATTAGCATTTTTAAGCCACTAATTCTAAGATATTAATTTTATCTGTGTGGGGGGCCAGCAAGTGGAAAGGTGGTTAAGGGAGATGGACCCCACATTGCAGACTGCTTGACTGAGTCTCAGACTGGTGGCTTAAAAAACAGACTGGCTTTGTGTGCCCAAAATCCCAAGGAGAATGGAGGAGAAGGGATTGTGGCATGGTCATCCCCTCCAGGGGATGCTTTCTCACTTTTCCTTTCTCCATCTCTCCCTCTGTCACTCTGAAAGTGCATGTGCCATACAGCAACTTAAAAAACTAAAATATGTATGTATGTATTACACATACACTTTTACAAAACCATTTCCCAGTTATTTTTTCTACAAAAAAATTAATATCTGGAGCTCTTTTATCAAATATTTGCCTCTTCATTATACATTTAGTATGGATATGTTAATGAGCTACTATCTAATTTGAGATCGTCTCTGTATCAGTAGATTATATGCAAAGAAGATTCTTGTTTTGAAGTAACTCCAATAGAGATTATGAGGGAAAATACCAAATTGATTAGAAAATTTTTAGTAGTATCATGCAGTCCGGAGGGATATAAGGATTGTGACACTTTCTCTAGACCAGGGCTCTTGCCACATAGCAGAAATGAAGCCCATCAGCCTCACAAAATAAATGTTTTTGAAGAAGTAGGAAGGAGTCCTCACCTTCTCAACCCCAGCGCCTTCCTCTCAGGATTCACACTGAGTGATCTTTGAGAATATCTTTGTTTTCAAGGAAGTGAGAGCAACACATGCAAAAAGAAATGGTCATGTTGTGGAGAGGATTGTTATTATTTTTCACGTGAATTGAAGACCTTTGACGACAGTAAGAAATTCTGCAAGGAAATGGACTCCATGCTTCTGAAGATAGAAGATCAAGAAGAACAGGTGATGTTTATATTCTATTTCTGCCTCACACAGGATATGTCTAGCCAACACTTGTTGAACACTGAATAGCTAATAACACTAGATTGTCTTAGCACAGTTTACAGTTGTATTTTGATTCAAATCTAAAAAGGGCTTATGTTGAAGTCAAAAATACAAATGGAAATGGTATTTGGATTTGGTTTAATTTATCTAATTCATCCCCAATTAGATTTTTTCAGTATAGCACATGCAAATTTAAAAAGTCAAGTAATTAGAAAAAATATTATTCTTAAAATATATCATGTTTTATCAAGGAAAATTTTATATTTCATAGAAATTGTATTTCAGACTCAGAGAAAAGTTATTATACATCTAACAAAATCAAGGCTACGCAGCATGACTAAGAGCATGAGTTAGAAGGAAAATCTAGAGGCATTTAAAATTGAAGATTTTTCATTCTACCTTATATAAAATTTGAACTTATATTACCTTCCAACAGAAATTAAATATGCTATCGCTATGTCTTGCTTTGAAATTAAAGAATTGAATTATAAAAATAGTTTTTTTTATTATCCTTATTGAAAAAACAATATATCTTACCATTCTAGGTAAAGGACAGTCTTTAGTACACTCTGAAAATTTGATGAAGTAGAAACTAAGACACATTCAGTTCTTTGTACCACTCCAGTTACCCATATACTTGGCTTTCAACAACTCAGAAATAAATGTAAAATTTATCTGAGCTAGAAAAGCATTAAGAAAACAAGGCAAAAATTGGAACCAGAAAGAAAACACTCATAGATTCTAATTAATTTTTGTTTTACTTCATTAGAGGCATGCAATTTTTATTGATGGCAGAAAAAAAAAATCCTACTTTGTTTTAAAAATAAGGGAAGAATTGGGGGGACAGGAGTTGGTGTGGTGGTTCAGGCACTGGACATTCCTACATGGCTGATCATGGTTTAAGTCCTGGATCTGATGGCTTGCTTTCTCATTTCCCTCTCTTTCTCTGTGTCTCTCTCTCTCTCTGGTCAAATTAAAATAAATAGGTGAATAAATAAAATTAAATGAATAATTATTTTTTAAAAAAGGAAGAAATTATGTTGAGATATAATATATTTAGGAGTAGCCAGGTGGTATATCAATATGAAGTATGTCTGTGTTCAATATAAGTAATAATCACATTTTAGAAAGGACTTATTTTCTTCAGTAAGAACTATAAGATTTATATGGATGGTGACAGGATTTTGCAAACATTTATGTAACTATACATACAAGTCATACTATTACTGAAACAATAGAAAAAAGAATTATTAGCCCATGGAACTTTTGACTTTTCATGAGAGTGCCCATATCTTCTTTTTTTTTGTACTTTCATTCTTTTTTATTAATTTAAATTTATTTTATACATTCAATCACTATAAGTCACTTAGATTGTAAAGTGAATTTACCCAACATGAATATACTTCACATGAGTCTGGTTTAGGATACTATACGTGTTATCAACAGATAATAATCCATTTCTGTATCTCATAAATTTCTGCCTCTCTATTTTTCTTCTTAATTTCTTTCCTGACACTCTCTCCTTTCTCCCACTCTTTTTCCACACTGTCTCCAGTATCCATAACTATTTTGCATGCTTCTATATCCTTTAATCTTTCAGTTTCTGCCATAGAGTGCAAACAACTGGTGTATGTTAAGTGGAGACATACAAGGTCTCTTTCATAGCCTGCCTTGCTTCACTTAGCAATCAATCTTCCATATTTGCCCACTTTTTATCAAATTCCAGGATCTTGTTGTGTTTTTTATGACTGAGTAGAGTACATGTGCCGCACATTTTCAATTCATCCATCTATTTGTGGACATTTGGGTTGGTTCCATGTCTTAGCAATTGTGAATAATACCACAATAAACATAGATGTGCAAGCACTTTTCTGACTGAGTGTTCTCCTATCCTTTGAGTAGATACCCAGGAGTAGAATTGCTGGATCAGAGGGTAGTTCTAATTGTAGACCTTTGAGGGAACTCCCTATTTTTTCTCACATTCTTATAGATTTATACAGTTTCAGAAGGGTATTGTAAAAGGCTCTGTGCTCAATAATCTACAAATATTGTATTATTTGACTTAATATTACATTAAGTCAGTGGGTGTCAGAGGTCCAAAAATGAGTTTCAGAATTGAGGAACCCTGATCTTCCCTAGAGGGTTTCTTCATTGAAAAGAATTTTTTTTTTTTTTTTTGAGAGATTTTTTTGCTATACGTAGTGTTTGCTCTTGACAGACAGAGAGAGACAT